GACAATGGCTTGGAATTTCTACAATACTGAATTTGATCTCTTTTGTACAAAAAGGGATTCTAAGACATAACACTGTCCTTTATATTCCATAGCAAAATAGAGTAGTTGAAATGATGAATATAATACTTTTAGATAAGGTCAGGTGTATTATGATTGGTTATAGAGTTCCTCAGGTTCTGTGGGATGAAGTTGTAATGACAGTAGTTTATATTGTTAACAAGACACTTTCCAGTTCCTTAGAAGGCAAAACACTTGAGGAGATATGGTCTGGAAAGACTCCTTACTATTCTCATTTGAAAACCATTGGCTGTACTGTTTATCCTCGTCAAAATGTTGGTAAGCTGGAGCCAAGATCTCTAAGATGTGTTTTTATGGGGTATCCTATTGGGGTAAAAGGATATAGACTTTGGTTTAGAGAGTTTAAGGGCTTTAAAATGATAATCAGTAGGGATGTGACTTTTAATGAGTCCAATATGCCTTGCTTAGGTACTAGAAGTGATGAAACTGTTCTTCTAAAGGAGAAAGAAATGGTACAAGCTATAGGTTGAGCTTGGCACCTCCTCTGATTACATTATTGAAAATCAGAATGAAAATGAAGTTCAAGAGACAGGTGAGGCAGAAAAAATTGTAGAAAGTGAGATTCAAATGAGTGATGGGGATCAGGTTGCTACTTTAGATTATTATCAGTTGACTAAGGATAAGACTAGAGGAGAAACTAGGGAGCTTCCTAAGTTTAATGATTACCTTTCTCTAGCTATTTTGTCCTATCAGGATCTAACCTTTAAGGAACCTAAGACTTGTGATGAGGCTATAAGTTGTTAGTTATCACAACATTGGATTGCTGCTATGAAAGAAGAGATGTCTTCCTTACTTAAAAATGAAACCTGGAAATTAGTTTTCAAGCCTGCAGTAAGTCTATAGTTGATTGTAAGTGGATTTATAACATTAAGGAGGGAAATTCTGTGAAATAGCTTCTCAGGTTTAAGGTCAGACTTGTAACAAAAGAATTTACACAAAAACTTGGTATAGATTATAATTAGATTTTTTCCCCTGTAGTTAAATATACTA